TATATATATATATATATATATATATATATATATATATGCTACCGAAACCCTGAACACATAGCGACGTCATGTCTAACAGATCAGTTGAATCTTAATGCGGTGCTTGTATCATTTTTACTGGAAGACTGCAAACTAAGGAGTTTCTTCAGTGAGATAACAGTACAAAGTAATCTCGCAGGGGATTATCATGTACTTATAAGACGGATGACACAACCGCAATCTAATGTTGAAGCTATTTATCCCACTCCCATTGTAAACCTCCATCTAGATTTGTGACCACTTTGGATAGTTAGTGTATATGTTCATTCATGACAAGCCAAAAATTGTCAGCTATCTTCACTTCAGTAAATTGCAGTATGCTTCCTCAGGATATCGTCTTTCTTCTGCAACTTTCCGATTCACAAGCATCCACTTCTCCCAGACAAGCCTGAAAATTGCACGTTTGTAATTCGCGTTATCTATAGTTCGGTTTTAAATATTCTCTAAAAATAGATGCATTCATCGCAGGACTTTTGCTTCCAGCCCTAGACTTCTTTGTGGGCCACGGTCGAACGCAATTATACACAGCAAAATAATTTATAAATGTGTTTTCAAGATTCACAAGTACAGTGAATTTGATTCGGTTCTTAGTTGAGCTTCCGGCGTCGTGTCTATCGCTATCCGGAGTTAATGCACTAGTTTCTGATGATTATTCACTTTATCAAACTTATATATGATAACACCGCTTTTGACTTCTTGAGTTAACGACCCCTTTGTGTGAAGTAACAACGTTACGGAACGGTGCATGTGAAAAACAACCCAAGATCAGTTGAACTAAGCATAACTATAATGTGAGATGTTCAGCTGAGCCTAATGAAAGTAGGGTTGATAAGTTGATTTGTACCTCCGAACGAACACTGACTGGGCTGTGTTACCGATACAGCGATAAGGCCCTACCTGGTTTCGGCTAGTTGCCAGATGAAAATTACAGGTCGGCTACAGTCGGCTACACGAACAATTTGGTCCATTTCTGAAAACCCTCTGATAGCTCACTACAAAGTTTGCCTTCCTTTGCGCTCATAAGGTAGTCGTCATCTCCGAAATTCCATATATTTAATTAAACACCAACTTGGTTGTGGGTCTGTTCGCCGAGCTTGGTAGTCAGATTGCAAGCGTTTCATTATCAATAGAGGTGACATCGTCAGTACGGGGTTGAGTGGGTGAATTCCTCCTCTTCCGCCCGTGCTTATATAGTTTCCAAACACTATCTAGCAATGAAATACGCTCATCTACAAATTAAACCGGTCAAGCTTTTACGGGATACTCAGCTAAATCCAGCTGAATCTCCTGTTTACGTAAAAGAAAAACCGGTAGTGAAGTTTCGAAGGGTGGGTGAATCCTCCTCTTCCGCCCGTGCTTATATAGTTTCCAAACACTATCTAGCAATGAAATACGCTCATCTACAAATTAAACCGGTCAAGCTTTTACGGGATACTCAGCTAAATCCAGCTGAATCTCCTGTTTACGTAAAAGAAAAACCGGTAGTGAAGTTTCGAAGGGCTTTCGGTCAATCGTGTAAGTAACTTCGTGTTGTTTCTCTAGTTCGGTGGCACTGAAACGTTAAGCGACCTTTATGCATGACATCCATTTGAGGAACATTGCGAGCAAGAGATTCAACTGAACCTACGACTAACGTTGACGTATCCATTTGTGCTCTTCAAATGATGAACTCGCGATCCCTAGGCTAGTAGTTTGAGCCCTTAGCCCTTTGGCCGCGAGTTTTTTGTTTCGGTGCAAGCCCCTCAGTTCTGATTCCGAGCGGCATGAACAAGGCTCTCAGAGCCAAGCCCAGTAACTGATCGAAAGTTGAGAGCATCCAGCTTAAAACTGGAAAAGTAGAGTGGTTGCTGCGCCAACCTTCTGGCGTCGAAACTGGTCAAGGTGAGCTAATAGGATCATCTCACTGGTGCATTGAACTGGTTAGCTCGTGGACGCAGTGGTGCCTAATCACACCAAGGATGTTCAATAGGACTCAGATTTTTTTTAAAACACAACACTGTAATAGTCACATCTACGGTGAGTGGGTAAAGCGCGATTATAATGACCGGAACGCTCGTGGTTCAAACCCAAACTCTGCATCTTCACTGCTGCTGTGTGAGCTCAGGGAACCTGTATCCCAGCCCTTGTGCTTCTTTCGGGTGGTATGACAGCTAGGCACCGGAAGGGTGTCACGGCTGAACGATTATTACTAGCGGTTTTTACGGTGGGTGTCTCATAATTGGTTGGTGAAAAAAGTCAAAAGGAATTACTAAACAGGAAAATAATGGTGATGATAGAGCGTTCGGTCACATCATGTTGTTCTTCACACCTGATTTCCTACAAAAGCGCATGCGACTTGAAAGTGGTAAAATCACTTATATTCAGTCAACCTATGAACCACGAATTCCACTGAAAGACACGTTTGATCACTGGACCTGCCCTCAGATCACATCTAAAACCAGTTACAAGGACTCAAGGTACTATCATGAATTTAAAAAAAATAATGGAAAACCGCTCAACTGCAACACTACTTTAGTGCCTGCTGTCATGCTACCAGGAGGAGGCACGAGGGTTGAGGTACTACCAGATTGCCTAATCCCAGAGTAAACCCGTCGAGATTCTGCGGTTGCGTTTGAACCGCGGACCTTCCAGTCAGCTCAGCCTTAACCGCTGATCTACCTTCAGTGTCGTCTCATGTTATTCGGAATAATGGATTGTCCAAGAAGCTTATAGTTCTTACTCTTATAGGTGACGATAGGATCTAGCATTCCCATAGCACAGTAACACAAGTGTACCGCTTGAAGTTCATGTATCTGAAGGCCTATCCAGCCAACCACTTTTCAGATATGACGACTACAGTAACTGAGATATTCGGGGCTTATTGGATGGCCATACTATCAGCTCGCTTGGTATGTCTAAACGCTTGAAGCCATCTTCACACCTGAATAGTGTGACTGTTTCAAGTGGTAATCAATAGACGTCAATCTAATATGTCTGGAATGACAACTTTGAAAGCATACCAATCGTCTTTAGTTCATATCGCCTTTGTGTAAAGCAAGAGAAGTCGATATGTTGTTGGGCAAGGTGGTTCTGTCTTAGCGAAATACAGTCATCTTAATACATGTATAGTCCTTCCACGATATCCAAGTGAACTCCAGGTGAAACTTTTGTTTATACTCCTCTGCAACCAAATGTGCTGCACCACGTTGCCTTGTGTTCCACTAAGTACGTACAGTCGAAGAGTGTTCGGCAACCTTATGAGTGGTGGTTCTCCTTTTTCTCTTTTCCACTATGTTTCGTTTCACTTTGAAAACGGTCACCAAAGATGTATTGTTTTCCGACTTACAGAACTTTCAGACGTCGCCAGATAATATTCTCCAACACGCTATTTCGATGCATATGTTATCATCCCACGGAATGTCAGGTGATCACGTCAGGGACAGACAGGAAAATCGGCTATTGGGAGGTGTACGATGGGTCACTCATTCGCCAACTGGATGGATCCAGATCAGGATCAGTCAATGGCATGGATATAACTGGCGACGGGAAGACGTTTGTGACGGCTGGTGATGATAAGATTGTCAAGGTATGCATGTACGTACTAGACGTCACGAGTAGTGCATCCCTCAGAGATAAACATCACAGAGATTATGCTATGCTTTCTGATCTGAAAGCTGCAACCCAAGGGGCTATGTAGAGACTTGGACTGCGTTCACATCTACTTAAAGGCGCTCCTTTTTTAGAAGGCCGAACAGACGATTGGCCTGACCCCTTTCAAGGTATTTTGTTCAACACACACACTCGATTTATTTGCTGACAAAGCCACCTGCTGGTCTAACCCGTTTTGTTCTCAGCTTATAAATGGATGAATAGCTGGATTTGTGGTAACCACTATTCACGAGGTCAGCTTCACCAATGTGACAACTAGGTACATAAATCGTTTGCACTGCAAGCTCATTTCAATGAAGTGAATAATCGCAGCCATAAATTTACCATATTCTAATATCGGTGAAAAGTTTTCCTTGAATGAGGTGACACTCAGTAAACTGATGCAATGTGAAATTAGAAAGCAATGGTAAACAAGAATGCCGAAGAATATCAAATTTACTTTAAGAAACTTTAAGTAATGGTGAATGCACACTAAGCGATACGCAGAGATGGAACTAACTGAAGCCTTGAGACGCAAGTGAGGGACATGTAAAAATTTCCACTGATAAAGTTTCTTCAAAGAGTGACAGAAGAGCCTGAATCATTATAATTTATTTAATCTTGTTGGAAACAACCAGTAAAAAATACGGTGTGGACAATTTCTCGCTCAAGCTGAAGGAAATGGTGTACGGGGATTTCGTGTATACAGGTTTGTCTTACACTCAGTTCGCCAGACAAACAGCTTTCTATGAATTCCAAGCAGCTCTTATACCTTTCACGATAGTTAATTTGGGCAACCCGACTTTAGCCTCATCCTCAAGCCACCTCCATATTCCTCAAAATGGTACACAGTTAAACGAGTCGATGATTGGTGAGTGTCAAACCTGACTGGTGCGGAATTCCGAGATTCACTCAAATTTGACAAACATCGTCATATACGCGCGACGGCTCTCCGAAATGATATGGCTGTTCAATTGCCAACCTGTAAACGGTGAGCGTTGGACAAGCTTCCAGATTATGCACTTTTATTGCTTTTTTGTCTGGCACTGATCAATAACAGGTAGGACTACGTGACCGCAGTAACACTTCTCCTATGTTTCCCCACTAGGTGTGGAAGTACAACGAGGGCGAGGTGACACACGTGGGAATCGGCCATTCGTCCCCAGTGACAAGACTTCGGATTTCACCTGATCAGAGCAAAGTGATCACCGTCAGCGAGGATGGAGCAATCTACATTTGGGATATGCCGCAAACAGCCTAGCCAGTTGAACAGGCCAACGCCATTCACAAGAAAAATGAGGTTCCACTGCCAACGGCTAAACAACTTGTGGTGATACAGATTCATAACTCATTTCTTGACTAATCTGATCGTATGCATAGATGAGAACTCATTCCTTCTGGGATGACAACTCTATTGTCTGTTAGATCACATTGTCCTGATTATTGCGGACAAAAATACATGCCTGCTCATTGTGCCTTGCAAGTTACCGATGGATCGCACCACAACGCCAAAAGTTCAAGTGATGCATAGCGAATCACGTGATTAACCAATCAGTCACAATTCTACCGAGCATAAAACAGCTCTAACGGTTTGTGTTTGGAAGCGAAAGAAGAACGTGAGTCGGCATAGGAATGGGTCATTCTCGAGCGCTACGAAATTAACAAATTCCATTGGAAATGTGTCACAGAAATGATTGTGATAAAAACCGACTGAATGGTAAATAGGGACGCTCGCATGTGTTTTCATTAATACCATGCATATTTAGGCGTTGATTCCAGTGCTTAAGACACTACAAATTCTTGGGTATAAAAATACTCCGACGATATCGGTGACAAAAAGGTGAGGGAGTTTTTACCCGTATATGACCATTCAGTGTTTTGGAGCAACCAGTTGTTGGACAAATGATCTGGATCAAGCGTGTCGTCAAAATATTCCGGTAACGCAAGACAATCCACGAGAATTACATTGCAGTGCCAGTTTTCAGTTGAAAGGTTCTCTTCTCTAAACTGTCCTGCAGTGCATGCCATTTGGCAAAGTAAAACAATGCGCAGGAGGCACTGAATAGCACGGTCCTTGGTGATGGCATCGTAGGTGAGCCTCCTTTGGAACCAGGACACTGTTTGGATGGTTAAAGTACCACATGAAGGGCAGCTTAGCTCATGGGTAGAAATTCGTTAGGAATTCAAATCATTAGTCTCGGTGACGTTAACATACCAGTAACACATACTGGTGCTTAATTGCCATACAACAACGGAACAAGGTCTTGATAAGGTGTTAGCAGAGGGCTTTAGCGCAAGGAAGTCCCGCACCCTTAGGGAAAATTGTCAAGAATAGGATGCCTACATAATTGGCAATGCATTGATCTAACATGTGAGCATCCCGTCAGAGTGAAGCGCCAACAGCAGGACTGACCAAGCGTCTTTTGCTAACGTCCCTCAACCTAAGTTCATTGCGTTCACGACATGGCATATGGGTTATTCGGATCCATGTTGAACAACCTGGGGGTTGCTCACCCCTCAGCATCTGGATATTCAAATGATGACGATGCTTAACTAGTAGTCACCTACTAGGTACAGGGTCCGGCTAGGAAGTGATAACAAATGCGCTACTGGTATAGGTTGTGTGACGTGCCGAGGGTTTCCAAGCATGGACAAGGTTCAGCCGGACCTTAACCAAGGTGCGAACATCCCACGGCAGTCACTTGCCCCGCTTCGGTTCATGGTTAGCCGCCTGAATTTTAACGATTCTCAAGAAGGATCCAGTTACACCAAGTCATAACCCTGAGGGCCCTAAGAGTGATAGCAAGAAACCAGTCGTGGGGCGCTCAATATTCATGATTTACTTTTCAATAACTGCGTCACCGTCCTGGCGCTCCTATGGACGGGTTGTGGGTGATTACCACGTTTACTCCAAGGTGACATTTTAATAGATGTCTCAATAAAATTTCTCAGACGACCTGACGAGAATTTTTAAGTTTCTGGATCAAAATCCAAAGATTTGCATTGAGACATCCTGAGAGTTCAGCTCTTCGAGTCTCAAGCAGAGGTGGAAGATACCTTGGAACACCTAAAGTCACCTCTGAGTTTCTACTCAAGAAACTTGACCATTTAAAAAATATTTCGGTAAATAGCATAGTGAAAGAGGTGTACCCAGCTGGCGTTTGTGTGGAGCCATTAGTGCCACCGACAGGTTTGTCCACTGTTTTATATTACGTCCCGCGTGTTCCCCATCACTGCTCGTAGTCATCTGCGTTACTACTTCGTATATCTTAGGCACAAGAAGCCGAGTAGCGTAGGTAATCTTTGAAACGAAACGACAGAGGCACACCGTAGAACCTAACGTTTCAAATTAGAAAAGTAATCGATGGACAGAAAACAAAACGCCTAGTAAGCACTATCACTTGAAAAGGTTGGAAACCACTCGAGCCTTTTCAGAAACGTTTAAAAACAGTCAGATTTATTTCTGGGTAACAGTTCGCTTTTGACACGAAAGCTTCGTCGGGCCAAGCGAACTGCACCGTAGTTCAAAGGCAAAAGGGGCGTGACGCCTGTAGACTGACCAGGTGAAGAGCTCTCCGGTCATTAACGCCCACTAGGGACTTAGCCACCATCTAATCGGTAACGGGGCCCTTCGTTGATCATCCAATTCACCTAGCCTCAAAATAATAAAATTCATATTGTTGTCTTCAGTTATGGCCTGAAATATACGACCGGTGTCCGAAAAGGCAAACCACACCATCAGAGAACTTGAAGAATTCGGATACGAACGAAAAACGAAGCCGACCGACTTGTTCCAGTGACTACCTACGGTCAATTTCAGACCGTCATGCTATTCCTCGCTTGGCTTAGTTCGTCTGCACCACAATCCAAATTTCTTCGCGGATAGCGAAGCCCAATTCGAATGTTTGCACGACCGACATCAATCAGTATTCCTAACTAATTAGATTTGCGACAAAGACCCATGAACACCAATGCAGAGCCCTGGTGGAACTTCGAAGTGATAATGGAGACTAAACAAGGACATTTTTGCTGTATTAGGAAATTTCAGGATCATGTTGGAAAAATGAACCAAGTCCACTGAATCAAAGCCGTTTTGCTTAGAAGGTAGCAGACCTGAACCACATCAGGTGCGTAAAATGGCTTGGTGAATAAACCCACCCATAATTAACTTGCGTATCAGTTTTCACAAATGTATAGGGGTTCTCAGATTTCAGAAAGGCGGAGTTCCATTCCTGTCCACAAGCTCTACGATCACTGCGCCACAACAAAAACTAGCCACACACAGCTTGGTGAATTCCGAACCTGAGTATCTTCCAGAAACATTTTCATTTGGCCCTCTTGTGGAGACTAGTTATAAATCGCCCACGTCACCCAGCCCAGTACATCTGCTCACTGTCTCCAGTCCTTGCTTCTACTATACACTAGGGAAGTCTAGTACTGTTGTGACAAGAACCTTTATCGACGATTTGGTGGGGTGCCGACGCATCACGTCAGTCTACACAGAAAGTGCACATCTGTGTCCGCTATGTTATTTATGTCTACACGCTGAACGCATACTAGGATACCTGAATCAATGTCATTCCACCACATCATGGTATGGCTACAGTCCAGTCAAAGACTTAAGCAGATGATTCGAGTTTCGACTCGGACCATTCCCCATGAACGCCCGGTCAATTTTTTTCGAAAAAATAACGACCCACCTCCAGTGTAAATCTATCCGACTATCATTGTCTCCCCAATGAACCCGAAAATGTGGGTCGAAACTGGCACAGCGATGACGGGCCATAAATTCATGACGGGAAAGCGAGTCACAGTAGTGCATCTGAACCTTTCCCGCGACGCAACCCAAGGCTGTCCACTCTTTCACGCTGACTTATTCAAACGGTTTTAGTACCGGAATAGTGATATCCAACGGGGTTTCGCGCCATGATGCGAAGTACTCTTGGATTCCTTACGAACCTGAGGTGTTCAAATGTCTAAACTTTATACTACCCAGAGTACCCAGAGTACGTCCCCTTCTCTATTGCGGGATTGCAACGGGTGAAGGATAATTGGCACTCATTCAGTATTGCAAATGTTTGCACCCAAAAACCAAAGCATATCGTTCGGCCCATAAAACCCTGAAATCGGCCCACAGTAAAAAAATAATCTAGTTATCACATTTAATAAAGGAAGCAACAAACCAAGAGTTTCCACCAGTAAGATTCAGCCCATTACGAAGCACACATTAAGCCCCAGAAATTCCGGTTTCCCAGTTTGTCGATCATTTCACTTGTACGAATGAATATGAATAGTAGCAAAGTGCATGGCCGACAGAAAAATAAGTGGTCTGACGATACCCAGGGCGGCTCCTCGAAGTGGGCATCCAAGCGATTGTCATACGAAGTCGAGCTTTCTAGGTCAGTCAACGAGTTTCGGTTGCGCCAGCTCGTACGGTGTCCCGGATGAAACGGTTAGCTCAGGTATGGACTACTGCCTGAGGGAGATGGGTCACCATAAACAGCTTTGCGGCTGACGCTCGTGAACAAGTTGTATGTTTCCGGTCAGTGTCAAAGTCAACCGACAAGGTTATGCGGAATCTTTAAGTGGTAAGAGCTAGTCGTTGAGCGACAATCAGATTGGCACGTTTGAGGACAGATATTCAAGATTACATACGAGGGTAAGATAGTACCAAATTGCGTTAACCAAAGCCGGTGGTCAATGGAGCGAGAAACCAGTCACGGCCTGGAAAATATGAAATCAAAATAACAGAACAACTAGAAAGCACGCGCGCAGCCAAAATGGATAGATAACAGGATCAGAGCCAATCTAGACTAGAGAGGATGTTCAGAGTGCGTGTGGAATGAAAGGCATCAGTGTCGTTTCATTTCCTCTTTGATGAAATTGATGAGACCGTTCGTGGATGAGTCATGCGTGGTGATTGGGTCAGGCGTTTTGAGCTCTGGTTGAATTTTCTTTGCCAGTACTTTGCCCAACTCGACTCTGTACATAAGACAAAAAACACTGATTCAACAAACAGGCGTTAACGACGAGGACGTAGTGCAAACAAACGTTATAGAAGGAAAACTGACAAAGTTAGCTTAAACGGAAACCAAAACATGGTAGCGGAAATCAGCCAGATCGGTATGAGTGCTAGGATAGGGGCAAAGAGAACCGAACTAAAATAAATACCAGACCCGTGGAATAGACGAATGAGATAAATTTGAGGTCCCTAGGTCTGTCACACAGTCGCCAACATTTCACTGTGTTAATGCTTGAGACTCTTTGGAAGAAAGCAGTGCAACGATGCGGACGTCAGTAAGTCACGAAATTCCATGTTACTTTGTTAATGTGTCCCAAAAACAAAGCCTTAGCCACTCCACGGAATACCCGATAAGCTAGGCCCTCACGCTAGCTCTGTCCGTCAAGGCGACAAGCTGAGCCCACCTAACATCCCTTAAAATCAGAAACACATTGCATCTAGACTGCTGAAATGACCGTAACTGACCTGAAATCTGAAGTCAGTGTCTACGAGAAGTTTCTTTGAACAGATTCCTTTAAGTGTCTTGGACTCCTGGTTACGGTTCATGGTGCATCAACATCACAAGGAATGAAACTTCTTAATGGATATAACCTAGTGACAGGCTGAAAATTGGGTCGGTATGATGTTACTTTTGTGTCAACGATGCTCTTCAGAGCCACTCTCAATCGAGACAGGGAAAGCTCAGTTCGAAGACCATCAGTTGTTGTGGTATTTAATGTCTTGCTCTGCAACACGGTGTTAATCTTGGATAGACCGGGATACTAAGTAACCAGATAGTTAGAACGGACTGCAACTAATGACTAGCGGTCCCCGAACACACTGAAATGCGTCACGTGCCTAAGCTAATTGTTCTAACTTCTTCGTACTTGTGACCCATTAACAATATTAAATGAATGGTTCCGCTGTAGCACCCCTTCGGTGCTTAGATGCCATGCCAACCGAAGGAAGCACGAGGATCCATATACTGTCAGGTTGTCCAAACCCAGACAGGAGCAGTCGAGATGCAGAGGTTGGGTTCGAAACATGGGCCTTTCAATCAATAAGTTCACGCCTTAAACACTGAGTCATCTCAAGCCCCATTAACCGAAAAAAAGAAAGCCAGAGGGCCTGAAAAGCACCAACACAGAGAAGGGCAAGAAAAGCAGACCACTAAAGCAGAACTCACCCCCATTGATCATATGAATTAATGTCCCAAATAACGCCCTGGACAAATATCTTGTGTTCGTACATGGCAATGAGACAGCCCAACATATACGGCGTCAGTCGCGAGAAGACGATGGAATTTGTTGGGCGGTTGCCTTTGAAGCTCTTGTGCAGACTCAGTGCTTCCAACTTTTCGCCTGTGACACCAGAGTTGAACAGTTCCGTGTGAACTTCGTCGCGCGACTTTCCCGTCATCAGGGCTTCGGTTTGGGCCAAGAAATTAGATATTAGGATCTGGAAGACAATAGTAATGATGTTTTTTATTTGCATAGCCTCGTGTTCCGGTTAAAGTCGAATAGAACTACGGCCAATGACTGAAAAAACAGACTCCTTCTGCGACTAATTTCATTATATTGGGGCCTGAACAGAAGAAGTAACGATGGTGGGGAAAACGCTTACTGGCAAATCATGAATTGCAGCCGTCAGGTTCTTAAGTTAAGTAAACGGGTTGGAAGGAACATTGGTTATTGTTTCGATTGATCCGTGTAGCAAACAGAAACCGTTACCAAATGTAGAGGAATCGACTACAGGAACAGCTAACTGGAGAAAAACTTGCATAGCATGCACAAAAGTGTTTGATACGCAGTGCTCAAATTAAAACCTACTTTCTTAGACACAAAAGTTTTGCCAGACGAACCATATTCATAGTGGGTTCAACAAACAGGGCAGATGGGAAAACCGATAAGCCATACTAACCTCGTGATGCAGACCTCCTTGAATGGGATTTTGCGTGTGAACTGGAATAAGAAAATCTGCGGGAATCAGACGTGTCCCCTGGTGTATTAGCTGATAGAACGCATGCTGTCCATTCGTACCAGGCTCGCCCCAGACAATAGGCCCAGTCGCGTAGTCTACCTCTTTGCTGGCGCGGGTAACAAATTTCCCATTGGACTCCATATCACCCTGTTGGAAGTAGGCTGCGAACCGTGACATGTATTGATCATAGGGTAGAATAGCATGGGTTTCGGCGCCGTATACGTTGATGTAGAGCACGCCTAGAACTGCCAAAATAACCGGCAGCTACAAGGAAGTGAGGACCACGGTAGAACGTGCAAGTAGTTTGTTTGGATGAAGCAGCCAAGTACAATTTATCACGAACTACAAAGAAATGCACACAGGAAACTCACGTTTTTGTGTAGGGGTGCTTCTTTAAAGTGTTTGTCCATCGCATGGGCACCCTCGAGAAGTTGGATGAAATTGTCCATTCCTGAAATGGAGAGAGTGAACTATCAATACCATTTAGATTGACTGAATGCAAGCTCTTCTGGCCCATTCTGAAGCTATAATTAAGCCGATAGCACTCCACCACCAGAAAAAACATTAACTTGAATGATGGCACTTGTTTCGGGCACCTAGTGAACAGGGAAATGAGATACGAAGAAACAAATCTTCAACGTCTCGTTCCCTTGATGGATGCTCTTTCAGTGTAGAAGCCACAGACATTCAATGCACGTCAGACACTAAATATTTCCTATCCGGAAGCACCATACGCTAATTATCCCGGACAACTCAGAGTTAAAGATGTTTTCACCATAATTTATACCTAGTGACATCAGGCAACGTTACCCTCCTTTAACCTTCACAGTTGCCGGCTAGAGTATGGAGTAACCTTCTAAACCCTACGGAGTTAACATACTTCCGAGATGTTCGCTTGCAGGCACCGAGTACGAAGGCGATATAGCTCTACCTAGAGGGCTGAAGTACTGTCATTAAATACCCTGAATAACACTTCTGCGATCTTTAGTACGAACTCCATAGCTGCAAAGAGTGAAGTGCCAGTTCAAGACGACACTCGAACATGATTCAAACAAACCAGTCGACGTAGTTGACCGGATCCGCTACCGGGGTAGTTGAATTAGTCCCACTGGGTTCGATGAAAGCGAGAATTCTATCCAACAGATAACGCCAGAATCGACTTGCCAACCGGAGACACCTATGGACTAGGCACTATGGTGGATTAAAAAGTTGAATTAGGCTACGTAAGGTTGAAGAGATGTGATGGTGACTGTGTGTCGGGAGATCAGGGTACGTTAGAGTCCAAGACAGCCTTGGATCAACAGTGCTGAGACACTGGAAGGAAAGAATCATTACGGGTCAGATGGGATGACGAGAGTCCACGAAATGAGTTGGCCTAGAACATATTACGTATAGCCATAACCGTCTGCACTAGAAACGTTTTCGCCAAACCACACTACCACTGGTGAAACAGTTTTTGAATTGGCAAACTTTTACCGACAAACTCGGGCGCCCGGAACAGGTAACACCGATGGTTAAGGACGTTGACGAACACGACCGATTCGCTTGCCTGATGGGTTGTTTACCAGCATGGCAGGTACACGAAAGAATTTTAGCCAAATGATCTGTCGAGCAATACCATTCCACAAATCACTCCATGAGTAACACACTGAGAAAAGGGATTACATTCAAGTAAGGCTACAATCATAAGAGGTCCAGAATGAGTGATGGATTAGGTAGGCAGCAAAAACTGTTCGCCACAAATCAATGATTGCTACGAAAAATCATTCTGTGGTAATTTCCATATCCTACTTGCGAACACAGGGTAAGGTGAAAGTATTTACATCAAAATCACAGCTTACCTACATACAAAGCAATCGACAGACCAATCGCAGACCAAAGTGAGTAGCGGCCTCCAACCCACTGCAAAAAGAGATGACAGTTAGACGGTCAAATGATTCGTAAATGAAAAGACGGCAAAAAATAACCGAGGAAACATGCTTGGTTGAAAAGCACTGTGGTTTGTTTGACTAATTCATAACCGAAAAGATGCGTTGCACGTCAGATCGAATTGTGTAACCAGTAACTAGGAGGCAAGAAGAGCAGAAGTTAAAAGCGGATAATGGTTCCTGACAAAATGAACCGTAAATAGACTGTAGAAATTAACGTAATCGTTGTTGGCACTACGTAATCCGCAACCTAGGCGCATTCTGTTGCAAATGGGTATCGAATCGAAGCACCATTAGTAACAGCCAAAATACTTGAGGGCTCAAAATGTACAGTATGGTTGCCAGACTGCTCACCAGGTCCTAGGTACTCTCTTTGAAGGAAGCAGGATGCAGGCCTCGTCAGGTGCCTGTCCTGTTGGAGAATCGGTATCCCATGCTGGATTTCCGATCTTCACGACGGGCTGACGTCGATGTTCCATTCAGGCTTGTTGGGTTCTTTCGGCGGGTGCGTTGAAGGAGACAGGCTGAACCGTTGTTTGAAGTGTTCAGCCCATCGCTCAAGAGGACGATTGAGGCGGCGAACTGCTGTTCCATCCTTTCTGCATATTGTTTCACTACCAACTACCTTCTTTTGACCGGTTAGTCCGCAGCTGTTGCCACAGCCTTCCTGGTACTTCGAAATCCACCATCGTTCTGTCATTCTTCAAGCTCCTAATTATGAGGTGTCTGGGGGATCCGCGGAAACCATTATAATCCCTAGTTGCTGGTATGGCCTTTCTGGCAGCAATAAAATCGACTGATCTCGGCGGTATCTAGTGTTCATTTAGTCGAGTCAGATGACATGGATGGACAGTTCTTAGGGCATACCTTAAGCCCAATTTCATTCAACTTCCAAACAAATTTCATCATCCTTATGACCGTACGTTTCCAGTAGCTTTCTAGTCAGGTCAGCTCGATAAGCCTGAGTTACTGAAAACTGTCAAAGTTGGTGAATGGAACTGCTCTGCTTTGGTACGCGTAATGCTAATGGAAATTAAAGCGAAAACCGGGATCGCACAATGACACGACCAGAGTCAAGTTGTGCACCTCAGAAGGAACAATCTTTAACTGAGGTTTTCAATCGGTAACTGATAGCCACATGGTCCAACTGAGTCCATGACTACCTCGTAGTTGGTGTCATCCAGGTAACTCGGTGTGAGTGTTTGTGTTGAAAGTTCGTACTGGCCAGGATGATGGTTAACACATAACTGAAGCAGTCGTTCCCCATTATTCGTAGGCTGAGTATTGACTCCACAGCCACCACCTAACTGTGCTTCTTTTGGACTTAGTCATCCAAATTGGACATTCATACGACCAGTTAAGATCACGATATTCGTTCTTCTTGCCGATCGAAGCAGTCGTGACAAATGTTGATAAAACCTGTCCTTCTTAGTCCGAATGCACTCTGTCGGAACCCACGCTGATACAAATGAATACCGTTTACTGTAACGACCTGCACTGATGTTGAATCGGTAACGATAGCCACATGGTCCAACTGAGTCCATGACTACCTCGTAGTTGGTGTCATCCAGGTAACTCGGTGTGAGTGTTTGTGTTGAAAGTTCGTACTGGCCAGGATGATGGTTAACACATAACTGAAGCAGTCGTTCCCCATTATTCGTAGGCTGAGTATTGACTCCATAGCCACCACCTAACTGTGCTTCTTTTGGACTTAGTCATCCAAATTGGACATTCATACGACCAGTTAAGATCACGATATTCGTTCTTCTTGCCGATCGAAGCAGTCGTGACAAATGTTGATAAAACCTGTCCTTCTTAGTCCGAATGCACTCTGTCGGAACCCACGCTGATACAAATGAATACCGTTTACTGTAACGACCTGCACTGATGTTGATTGAGCCAGACAACCGCAAAGCCCAAAGACAACTGTTTTTTCGGATGCAATCTAGTAAGGCGCTGTCGACCTTTGGGTTGAGTACAACCACCATACGGTAGATACTACCAGTCATTGCGTCGACATCACCAGATGTTCGAAAAGTGAAATGTTGAGCACCTGAGCTCGTCCTAAGCGACATGAGGTGTACGACTGAAGTGGGGGTATTGTACGCGTGTTTTCCACAGACAGGAAAACGGTTTCAGCAGGGGATGCCTACTGCCCGGTTTGAGTTTGAGTGCAGAGATTAAGGGGTTACAAGTTAGATCAGATCTCTTAAAGCTAATAAGTGATTACCCTGTTTTAGACAGGGAACAATGGTTAGGGGACTGCCAGATGTGTTGAACGAGTGGGGGGAGGCCGGTGAGCGAATAGGTGCAAGAACGATTGATACTTCTCGGTTGTCCAAGCCGAAGAATGGGGGTTGGTTGGGTCTTTGACTCAAAAGTCTGACAAACAAAGCAGTGGGAAGATGTAGGGTTTTGTTCGGAGACCCCGCCCCTAGCCTCTCACTAAAAATCTGAACCGTAAGACAGCAGTTGTTAGGGTTCCTTTGGATGACCACTCAAGAAGCAAGTGAACTGGCGATGGGTACCACGCCAAACTACCACAAATAGTTTAAGGTAGCCGCCCCTAGCCTCTCACTAAAAATCTGAACCGTAAGACAGCAGTTGTTAGGGTTCCTTTGGATGACCACTCAAGAAGCAAGTGAACTGGCGATGGGTACCACGCCAAACTACCACAAATAGTTTAAGGTAGCTACAAACGAACACTCAAAACCACAACCCCGACAAAAATTGACGGTAGGACGTCAATCGCTGGTGGCTATATTTTCCAACGTCCGCGTTTCGGGCCGGTCGATTGATTTGTCGCATCGGCAAAATCCGAACATTTCACGACTTTCACATACTCCCGTTATAACAAAACGCCGACCTTAAGCCTTCACCCTGTCATGCTGGCCATGTCCCAGTGCTGTAATGATTCTGTGGTCTAAACCGGCTGGAACTGAGTTCCACCATGTGCCAGAAAGGTCAGTGGGGAGCAGGCCGACGAAGACCACGGAGTCCCTGTGTAGTGAAAAATCATGGCACAGGATGGTATATAAGCCTCGTATATAAGGTGCTTCTGGCATTACTTTGCACTATCAGGGGAATCGACGATCAAACTGGGGTTCGCCATGGCCATGGATGCATCGACCACATCTTGACCTTCAGACATTTTCTTGAAAAGCGTCACTCCCACGTGCCCTAAGTTGGTCGTTTTTCCTGACCTGAAAACTACGTTTGACTCTGTCGATCGTCAGGAACTTTGACGGTATTCTGCAATCAAAGGGCATCATCAACAGTATAACATGAGTGTTCAACATTGATGCTTCGCTGCAGCTATTTGAACACCCGAGTTTTGAATACCCTCCAGTGTTCATTTAATTATCTCGTCCATTACGAAAGTAAATAAGAATGGACAGAGAGTGCGCATCCCTAACGGGCACCACTTTGTATGCCGAAGATTTTAAAGAGCTCTCCATACACTCACTCACCGATAAGTCTGAGAATACAAAGAACTTATTGTATTCACAGACTAAAGGGCACATTTCTTGGTGGGTAAGTGCATCAAGAACATATTGGTCGACCGGGTTGAATACGTCTTGGAATCCCCGCTTATACGTATGACGTTGCTCTAACACCTGACAGTGTTAAGATCTGGTCAACGCAACCCATAACCAGCCGTAACCCTGCTTGCTACTCTCGAGTCAGTATTTCGCGAGCAACCATGAGACGAGGAAGAAGTAATGTCACGGGTTTTGTTACGACTGCGGTCAAGCTTAACTCCCCGGGATTATCGCACCCACTACAGGCCCCCGTTTTGAAAATGGGAAATATATGACCGGTCCTCCCAAGTTGTCTGAGATGATCCCCTTTCGCAAATGCAGGCAGATAGATCGGACGAGCGCTGCTTGAGGACTTCACCCTCACCTTTGAACTATGCGGGTGAGACGTCTTCCGGATCAGCAGCTCGATGGCGCTTGAGAACATATCCAGTTATGAACCTCCGAGGTCGTAAGAGGTCCAAGGTTCACAACCCAGTTTCCTACATCAGATGTAGGATCTAAATGAAAGGCAGCGGATGGTCACAATATTTTTTGTTCGGAGTATTCGGTTTAGGGGTTGAAGCGTTCTTCTTTATTCAAAATGGTCACGCCACTTTGACTCTTGAAGGTTTCACTCACAGGCAGTTTCCAGAGACCGGTAAGTGTAACCAGCATCTGCAGTCGTGAAAACCGCGCACTTGTCCAATGGCTATAGATGTACTGGTTTCTGTAAACATCTCAGATAATCTATAACACAACGCACCACTTGCTGAATTCTAGCAAGAGATTTCTTAGACCTAATTATGTCTTTTTGACGTCACTACTGTATTGAATTTCTTGGTTTCCTCTCAAATACAATCAATCCAGATGGACATCTCGGAAGAAATCCTGAGATTCAATCAATTTTAGGATGTATTACAACGCAGTGGTCCGGCAAGGTGGTTATCGGTGTGGAATAATAACATGAGAAAAAATGCTAAATGAGAAAACTGAGCAAACCATACCGGCAGATAGTGGGGATACCATCAATGCAGTAAACACGTGTTTGAGGACTCACATCCCAGAACTCGAACATATTTTCTTCAGCTATACCAAACTTCTTCACTTCATCGGAATTTGTCGAGAGAGCCACAAAATGCTTCGCCACATGAACTTCCTGGAATAAAAAAATATGATGACGCTACCATTGAACGGTCGTTGCAAAACACAGCGTTCGAAAAGGGAAATTAAGCTTAAGATCGGAAGGAAAACAAAACGACCCCGTTCTGTTGGCAGCGGCACATGCTTAGTTGAAATAAAAAGACTGCTGAGTAGCTGTTAAAGCCTGTCAACTCTCACCCAAGGTCACGCATGGGAATGCTGCCGAACAGTAACAGGAGGCAGCGAAAAAAATACTCGGGAGAACTTGACTAAAAATATGACCTACCTCTTTGGCATGTTTCAAAAACCATTGCTTTGCTGAGTGAGAATTGGTCATTGTTTCGATCGTGGTGAACGTCTGATGAAAAAAATAAAACGAAAGTGACGTTAACCCTAACCAAGGGTCAGTACGGCATCACTGCCATGCAACCTCAATGAAGCACGAGAGCTGATATACCTAACTGTAATCAGAAGCTGCGTTCGAGCTAAGTTGTTTCGGGTTGAGTTGTTTCTGAGTTGTCTCGGGGGGATCCGGTAGTAGTAACTTGAGAAGAAATTGGAAGTAAAACAAGTGGCAACTCTGGGCAATTCCAGATTATTTGTAAAGTACCATCATTATTGACAGCAAAGCCAGAGGACACATGCTTCACTACCATACAACCATGTCCGAATCGCAAAACGGGAGGAAATACGACAGGGACAGAGACCTGGGGTTAGCTTAACACAAACCAAGTGAAGTGTCTATACCTCGAACACTCGGTTACTCTGGATAGAAACCGACATCATGAAGGTGGCCGATATCCGTTAGCGTCTGTGTCCTTCGACGTGGCCAAACAAGAACAGGTCCACGTAGACTTACGACATCCAAACAATTCTCATTCCCTTCCGTCGTCTTATATTCTATCCACCTGTAGGTTGTGTCTCTCAGAATTAGGCATGGAAAAAAACCTTTGCTCGGTAACGGGTAACTCGGTATGGGCAACACAGGATCCATCAACTTAGCTTACAGTATTGGACATATTTTTTGACCGAGATATCACTTGCTTTACCGGAAATCCGTTTCAGCTCATTTTGAATTCGTTCGTCCCAACTATGGTTCTGATAAGTCGGTGGTCACAGACCCGAAAGTGTCTCATCCTCTACCCGAAGTGGTCAAGCCTCGCAGCCGTGAAACATTGCAACCCGCACCTTGGTGTGATACATCCGTTCTTCGAAACCTAGTGATACGCTTTTGACGCAACAATTGGGGCAAAGTGGCACACAATTAGTCCAGATAAGCGGTGCCAAATTTTGGTATGCAGCGCAGAGTGGACGAGAGTGGGGACACAAAGCAAGGGATTCGCTTTAGCTAACAAGTCGATAAGTAGGCACCTGAGCTAGTCAAATAGCATTAAAGTTTCTACCCAAAAAGGAAACAAAACTAAGGCGCTCACCTTTGATGCAATGATGAACAGGGTGGTTTCAGGGTTTAGTTTTTTCAGCGTTTCAGCCATGTGGGTTCCGTCAATGTTGGACACAAAGTGCACACGTAGATGGTTCGCGTATGGTTTTAGACATTCTGTTGCCATGACAGGACCCTGACGCGGAGAAAATTAATAAAAATAAGTTGGGAGGGAAACCATCATTAAAAGTTCGGGCTGCGTAAGCAGTACCTCTAGGATTTATTATTGCAAGACATCAAGACGTGTGCCCATCCAGAGGTCTTGTGTAATGACCCGTGTACAGTGGATGCTAAAAACGAACGTCATAGGCTAAGGGACTAGTCAGTACCAAGTCGGTACTGTCATTATGTGGCCATCAAGACTAAATTCTGTTGCGAGTTACAGGCGGTGAGGACGCGGAACGTTGAGGCATTGTGCCCGTCTAAAATACGACGACCTACATTTCATAACACAGTAAGATAGTCCAGAGAGAAGGCAGTTCAGTTATAATAAAAGCGCGATAAGGGCTAACGGAAGACCGTACCAAGGGGTTCCAAATTCTTGAACGTCAATCGGTCCACTTATAGGAATGTGTATCATCGCCAGAAAGATTCTTCCTCGAATGGGTGGTTCCGCAGCATGTTCGCGAGCGGACGAAAAGATATCCAGGCCAATTTCCTTCGGTACCAGACTTTTGGTTTACCCAACCGTACAACCGGGTATAATGGTTCAAGATGGCGGGGCATAGTCTGTAGCAAACATGTCTGCATCCAGTCAACCTGGATAGAAACTGACAGAGGACGTCGCCGAAATCGGTTAGCCGTTAGGCCTTTTTACCATATCCAGCCAAGCACATTGAAGGATCCCATCCTGTAAGGCGAGCACCGACGCACCTTAGTACTCTCATTTCCTTATGCCGCAGTGAAGCATTAGTGTCAACACTAATGTTGCTGTCTCTGATGATTATGATGATGATGATATGCCACTCTAGGTATAAAAAACGGCCTTCTCGACAGCCAGTAACCCAACAAGCGTAGCGAACGAACGAAGCATCTAAACTTGCAGTACAGAATACAGTCCTTGATTGATGTAACTTCATTCCGACAAAGACGCTTCCTAAACTTTTTGAAGATTATCGTTATCAAGTTCAGGAAACTAGTTTCCGGTAAAGTTCATTGTAAGTTATCCACTGTGATTTTAAGGTATCAGTGTTTAAAATCCACTGTTCACAGGTGCCGAGTCTTGCGGCCATATGGCGATACAGTCCGCACCGTAGTGAAATACACGCGTCTTTTCAGAGAAAGACGAGCCCCTCAATGAAATGTCGCGCAAACTGGCCTTCCAGATTCGTGCACTGACTTCATCAGTTACACTACGGTCATAGCTAGCTCAACCACTGAGATGAGTACAGTGTTCTGTAAATTCCAGTGTCGCTCGCTGGCTTTGCACTGTGAATACAAAACACATACCGAAGGATCACGTTGGACAGCTCTTGAAGGAACGCTTGCACTTCTCCCTCCCTAAAAATGGGAAAATGTCATCTGCATATTCCAGGTAGACAAGATTCCCGCTCAGAGATCCGAGTACTGGGGTTACTGAGACCCTCTAGAGTGTCTCAATATATCATCAGTGACATCCACATGGAGAGTGAACATTGTTGTCGGACACTATGGTTTATGCGGAAGGTTTTGGAGGGCCCCCTGTGCACTTATGGGCAATTATGTGAACACAGAACGTAAGATGCTGACACACTCCTGGGGCATAACTTGCTGTTCTAGAAGAGTTATTCGCATCACTCAACTCAGAGACATCAGAATGCCTGTACGCTTGTCATTGTCCAAAGGCTTAAGAGTCTGATCCACACTTCCCCCTCGGCCTGAAACCTGCTACCACCTGTACGGCAACCACCAAGATAGATCATACGCAAATACAACCAGCGGTCCGTATATGGCTTTCTGAAAACAGCTATGATGTGAGAAAATAACGAGTGACACAGAGCTGTTCTGAGACGACACTATTCGGACACCGTGAATACAAGTAGAACTACAAAAAGCCAAGAATAAGGGCTTTGGTGAACGGCGAGAACGCTGCAATTCAAGGTAAACATAAAACACTGTGGGACGAGTGAAAATGACGGCGGTGGCAAGACGAAACTAAGATGAAACGTTAGGACAACCTCACAAGCCGCACTTAATAAATTACACGGAAGTCGATCAACAGAGAGCGACTGGTGGAAGCATGAAGGAGAAAGAGACTGGAGCTAACTGACTGAAGCCAGTGCGTCATATGAGGTCGTGATAAGCCCGAGAGAGCTAGGTAAAATCAGGTCACCCAGACCAGACGCATTGCCTCCCAAGTTCACGTCAGCGCTGCACCACCTGACTCACGTTTGCGATGAATTCTTTGAACTGGAGGTTTCGAGATACTTGGGTAAGGTAAGTTGGGTGAGAACACGGCTACTTGTCTAATACCAATTTCTCACAAGGCTGGACAGTACTTCCGAAAAGATAATGTACACAACACCTCTGTGACGTGCTCGGCCCGGACCGACATGGATCCCAGGTGGAAAATCTTGTGTAAAAAGTTAGCAGCGCCGGTCGATAATACAAGCGGCGTCCATGGGTCCCCAAGAGCACCCCACCACTTGGGCGATGCCGTGCTGCCGCAAACGGTCCGCAAAGCAAGGAGGGGATGAGCACCACCTACGCAAATGGGACTATTCATGACAAAAAACGTAAAGGACATCCTCCGAAAGTAGAAGCTACCAGGAGTAAAAGCCATCCGGAATGCTAACTCCAACCATACCGGGCAGCCGGTACGAAAAGCGACCGATCGGTTCGGGAGCAGGTGTGGGGACTATCTCCAGAGTGGTTGGACAGACGTGGCATCTACAGCCCCTGAATCAGTGAAGGGGATGATGGCGGAGACAACCGGATTCCAGAAAAGGCTGTCCACATCAACACTAGAGAATCAAGAGGCTACTCAGTTAGCACTTGAAAAGGGCTACTATGAATATTCCTATGCTAAACCTGGAGCTCATGACAGTAGTTCCATGAAGAAAGAGACGGGGCCAGATCCACTGTCACCTGCAGGCCCAAGAATGGACAAGACAGGTTGGCGGACAGAGAATGAAGAAATCCATCTCAAAGCCTCCCGTAAACACCAAAGTAAAAATTTATGCCCACCAGATCAGACCCTCCAATACCGATATTGACGATATCCGTGATCGCTTTGCCGGTATAGCCTTTCCAGGAACCAGAGATGACCCGACCGCAGAAATCTTTCATATGGTTCAACACCGCGTTCACGCCAGGCATTACCTAGAAAGCGATAACCTTAAGAACAGAGACTTACATCCTTTCCGTCAACAAGTATTGGGACGTTTGAGCGATTCCTAAGTGCAATATGGAGTACGGCACGATTTTCGGTGAAGTTGATCTTTTCCCCGGCAAACATCGCGTCCCGTAGTTTTTCGACATGACTGTCTTTGGCCTGAGCAATAAATTGTCACACAAATACTCACCAACTGGATGAGTTTGTTAAAAGTATCAGTGTCAATCAAGTTCTTAGAATAGTCCAGCAAAATATTACCATGTGCAAGATTTAGCACTTGACTGACAAATCAGAAGCAGTCAAATACTTACCTTAACTCTGTGAACCTTTTAGGGTTTTTCTCAAACATTTCCTTCATAGTGAGTGGAACTTTCTTGAAATTGGCCAGAAAATCTCTCAGTGCAGCCATTATGGTTCTACGTGACGAATAGGACCGAGGTATATCGCGCAATGCGAACGGCCTTTAACCTATTTGTGATGCGAACAAACAATGATGAGTTCAAAAAGTCCAACAAAATCACTTACAAGGATTCACGGATCGGCACACAGAATCGAGGTTTTTCATCTAGTTTTCCGGGTCGATTTTGTTCTTGTGATTCAGCGGCCGCGGTACAACTGAGAGGTACGAGCGAAAAAAGGTTGCGGAACTGCTCTTTAAGTACTCAAAGTGGGGCAATTATCTCGCCATCATGAAGGCTCAGCTCAAAAGCCGTCTAAAAGTGCATTGAAATGAGTACTGGATGCAGCCTGGACAACCGTCTGAAAAAGTTGCTCCCAAGCACACCCTAAAGGAGAAAAGTAGTTTTCTAACAAATGTGTGCGCTCTTACTTTGTTTGAATACGCACAGAACTATGAAAACGCGCTTCGGTATAAGCACACAAAAAACGCGTCACGTGCTTTGTCTTTCTCTTCTGATTTTGTTCGTGCTTGCAGTGGTCTTTCGCGAGTTTCATATGTCAACTCTCATATCGAAACATATCAGATTATCTTAGGACTTTATTTTATGCGAGAACTGTTCATGCAGCGGTCTTCCCCAGTTTCATATGTCAACTCTCATATCGAAACATATCAGATTATCTTAGGACTTTATTTTATGCGAGAACTGTTCAAAAGTTCTCTGGACAACATAATAGGCCAACGATGAACCATCTCAAAACGAACAATTCTTAGTGAATCTGTTTGATTATTATTATGCACTCAATCTAACGTTACTATTTTCATTTCTTGCCACACAATTCTGGTAAAGTAGCTTTTAGGATAGCTAGACCACTACCAATTTGGTGAGCCGGGCTCTTCCCAGATATTTTTATCTGTTCCTTTTAAGTCATCGTAGTTTTTTGCCCGGTCATTAGGGATACACACTTCGGTCTATCTGGGTTAGTCGAGAATACGACGGGCATTCGTTTGACAGAACAAAATCCCCGTAACCCAAGGGTTTGCTTTCACCAAGCTAAAGCTTTTTTCGCCAAACGGCGTATCACAAGTCAGGTTGCTCGGTTTTCCCAAGTTGTTGGAAGTAAGGTGATCTGTGTTGCTTCACTTTAGGACACGTTCCATCACCTTGCACAGCACACAAGTGAGACTTATAGGCCTGTAGCCCCCAGGCGGTAGTCAATCACCAGTTTGTAGGTTAGCGCGACAATGACTTCCTCCCAACTACAGTGAAGGTCACTTTGATTGTGCGACTGACGAAACACGAGGTAGAAGTGTTTCGCAAGTGTGAACGGCGACTCCCCCCAGGCACCTTGGATGGACCCCGTCAGGCTCCAACGCGCTGAATGGGTTGATCTTATTCGAGAGTTGACGAATTTCCTCTACCGTGAAGTCTGTCAGAGACCGTTCACGTTTACGCCTTGACAAGATTGGATGTGGCGCGGTTGCTGGAGCTGAATATAGAACTGCATAGTGCTTTCAGACACCACTATTGGGTAGTTCGTGGGCTTTCTGTTCCCGTCCTCAAGAAGAACGCGGATGGCTTTTTTCTGCGGCGATTTGTGAGGCACTCGAACAGCACATTTCTGTTTTACCGGTCAAGGTCCAGAACGGTGGCTTGTTTACCTATGTTTCATTGGCGGACTTCTGATTTACAGCGCTTCCACATTTCGCGAAAACCAGCCCATTTTCTGTGTCCCCTTAGTCCAGTTTTCATAAATAATTGGTACCTCTTTTCCCGAAGACGCCGAATCCTATGATGTAGCTTGCGGTCCTTCCGACTGTGTGCTGTTTTTAGGATGAATACCACGTCAGCCTCCTGATCTTCCTGGATACTGGAGCTGTATGGCTCCTCCAATAAGGTTGTCCGAGTTCGAATTCACCAAGAAAGATGCGCATTTCTGGGACGTCTGCACGGCAGGAGTTTCGAATCTACGTTAAGGGCTCGGTATTTCTCACACAGTAGCGGATGCAAGCAGTACACAGTGGTCACCGTGTCCCTGGGGGGCAGTATTTATCACTTGATCGACGAAGTGTCTTTTGTTGGTGATGACCACGATGGGTGGTATTTGGCCTGTGCTGTATCTAGTGAACAGCGCATTTCTGTTTTACCGGTCAAGGTCCAGAACGGTGGCTTGTTTACCTATGTTTCATTGGCGGACTTCTGATTTACAGCGCTTCCACATTTCGCGAAAACCAGCCCATTTTCTGTGTCCCCTTAGTCCAGTTTTCATAAATAATTGGTACCTCTTTTCCCGAAGACGCCGAATCCTATGATGTAGCTTGCGGTCCTTCCGACTGTGTGCTGTTTTTAGGATGAATACCACGTCAGCCTCCTGATCTTCCTGGATACTGGAGCTGTATGGCTCCTCCAATAAGGTTGTCCGAGTTCGAATTCACCAAGAAAGATGCGCATTTCTGGGACGTCTGCACGGCAGGAGTTTCGAATCTACGTTAAGGGCTCGGTATTTCTCACACAGTAGCGGATGCAAGCAGTACACAGTGGTCACCGTGTCCCTGGGGGCAGTATTTATCACTTGATCGACGAAGTGTCTTTTGTTGGTGATGACCACGATGGGTGGTATTTGGCCTGTGCTGTATCTAGTGTGTGTCGACATGTTGAGAGCAAACATTTTGTGGAACTTCGATCGGCACCGATTCGAAACGCGCAGTAGCCCCAATGCCCCGGAGTTCCCTCCAGGATATCTTTAGAGCACCGAAATAACCCACCAGCGAGAGACATGTGAAGTGGTAGCTAAAGGAGATTTGCTCAAGTGTTTGTATGAGGAAGTCGTCGTCTTCTGGAGTCCACGATGGGCAATGGTAAACCATGCCCTGAAGAGAGAAATGGACCTCGTGCAGCGGGCTGTGAATCCACAACGCATCGCGAAAAGGTGCAGGGTGATATCGAAGACGAAACTCTGGATGAGTAGGGCCGTATTTAACTAACAAACAGCCCCACCAGGCCTTCCGCCTTTTGAGCCACCTCGAGAAATAGGGGTGCCGCCTACGGAGACCTCTGCGTCAGAGACATCAAGTGTGAGCCAGGTCACTGTGAGTGCGATTATGGACGGCTGTTTTAGGCAAACTGATTGCCTATTGTAGCACATTTTTTGGAAAGGCTGAGGCGGTTGGTGGACATGCATGTCCAACCCTGCTACTTGTAGCTCTTTCGCTACCTACTTTTGGATGACCGGAGTAGCAGTTATTCAAGAATTTGGGGTATACACTCGTCTGTTATTTTGGGGCAACTGGTGCAATTTCATCGGTAAGATGTCTCAATGGGAATCTGGGCGTTTGGTGCTAGCATTGAGAGGTATTCTTCTAGTGTCGCTCCTATGAAGCATGTTCTCGTAGATGACTTTACCTGGAATCAAGCCATCAGTTTCCTGATTTGGCGAATCTTTTGTTCTTTGTTTGACCATAATCGTCTTTCTTCTATGTGTGCGTCGACCTAAAAGTCGCCCGCGATCGGCGCGGTCAACTGGATATACGAGAAATTTTCTGGTTCTCTGGCTTTGGTTGTCGGGGTCTGGGAGTCGACTGTCCACAAACAAAGAGGACACATTTGATGGAGTGGAGCTAGACATAGGCAGTTCCACATTCTCAGTGGCTGTACGGTTCTTGCAGCATTCCACAACGTCTAGGTCGGCACATGGTTGAGTTCTCGCTATCCATCGCCGACTGTCTGTACATGTTAGACCCAGTTCAGCTCATAATTCGTTACTTGGGTGTAGAGTTCACCTCGACCTAAAGCTGGCACCTTGACGTGGTGGAATTCGTTACGTGTAGAGTTCACCTCGACCTAAAGCTGGCACCTTGACGTGGTGGTCGGGCTTCAGTGCTGCAATGATCCCGCGGGCTACCTACACTGGAACTTCGTTCCACAAGGTACAACCATGCCAGGAAGGCCATAGTGGAGCAGCCAAACTAAGAGCAGCGAGATCACGCATTACGAGTAGTTGTGGTACGAGGCGGTCTGGGGGTAAAGTCGTACTGTC